ATGGAAAGTGAATTTGCTTTATAAACCTTCACCCAAATCACAATAAAATTTAAAAAAAAAGAAAAGAAAAGAAAAGCTCCTTGAATTGTACTGGAAATTAACTTTAAGAAGTCATTTTGCTATATATATTTCATTTATAAGATTATAAATTTCTGTAAATGGCTCATTATAACAGATTTTAGGTGTGATACTTTTCTTCCCCACCATCTCTTCTTTTTTAAAAAAATAAAATAAAATTAGAAGCAAAGTAGACCTTTTTTTTAAGAAGAAAATTATGCCATCGAGCGGGAGTCTCTGTTAGGACCTTTGCTTAATGCCATGCAAATTGTGCCTGGCACAAAGACACCCAACTGAGGCAGTGAGTAGGGTCTGAAATTCAGCCTACTAGCCTTTCTCCAAATTTTGTGCTGCAATGGAAGAGTTGGCCTTTTTTTCCAGTTCACACAGAGATTCCATATGGGCTAGGTACTGTACCTTTTTTTCTTCAAAGACATGTTAGAATTCTGAACTCTCTAAAGTTGTAGGCAGTTTTCATTCTAAAAGGCAGGAATTGGAGTGGACTTTGTTTTGTTACCCTCTTGCAGTGACATATGCGGCATCATTGATTAAAATTCTTTGCACTTGCCGCTCTTCCTAAAATCCTTTTCCCTCTTATCCACATGGCTTCACTCTCAGGTCTATGCTGACCTTCTCTATGAGGCCTTCCCTGACTTTTGTACCTATAGTTGCAGCCACCCCCACACCGCTGCCTGTCGCCCGTCCTTAATTTTTCTCCGAGTGCTTATGACTATTTGGCACACTGTGTTTTAATTATATCATTGTGTTAAGAAAGGTTAGGAATTTTCTTGTTTGATTTTCTACTATATTCCCACAGCCTGGAACACTGGCAGGCTCCTGGCAGGATACTGAATTTATTGAATGAACAATAGAATGCAGAATTTCTAATATATACTGTAATTTTAGTAAGTGTAAATGGATAACAGAGGAATATTTAAAGGCCTGGGTTTGGCAATTTAAATCCCACCTCCACCATTCCTAGATACTCCTCTGTGTCTGTTTTCTCATCTTTAAAATTGAAACAATAATATCCACATCATTAAGTGAAAATTTGATGAAGTAGTACAAGTACAGGTATCTGTCACTTAATGTCTGTTCAGGCAACTTCCAACTGCATATACTTCAGTGGTGCCATAAAGTGTTTTGTTTTGTCTTTACAGGGAAAGCAGCTCTCTTTTTGTTTATTTATCCCAATGATTTGAAAGACCCCAAACTCCCAGAGAGTATACAAGCAGTGAGGTTTCAGGGTACATCCCAGGCCCACAGTACTTTGTTCTCTACCTCTTTCTTCTTCCTCTGCCCCCTTCTTCCCCTCCTCCTGGCTTCACTCACGTGCTGAGAATAGCCTTTCACTCCCCCTGCAGAGCAGCCCCTGCCAGGGCTTCTCTGGTCCTTCTGTGAGCACTGGCTGTGCTGGCTGTGCCCGTGCTGGCCATGCCCAAAAGCTTGCAGGTTCCCAGCTCCAGGCAGCAGTGGCTGCTACACATGATCAGGAAAGGACTGTACCAACAAAGTGGTGGCAGACAAAGCCTCCACCTCCAGCTATACTTCTGACACCTGCATACCTGGTCCCTGTAGCCACCTCTCTATGCACCCCCACCTACCATGTGCCTTCCCCTCTGCCCTGTGTCTGGATGTGTGTAAAGTCCTAGTCTGGCTCCAGACACAACTCCTGCCAGGCCCAGCTGCATATCTGGCAAGGCTGGCTTCCTCTATCCAGTGGATACAGCTCTTGGGCTTTGTCCAGCTGGTTTGGTCCATACAATTTTAATATAATACGTTTTGCGGAGATTTAACTATGGAGATTTGTATGGATAGTGCCTGTATATAGTATGGTGTTCATACAACGTCCAAATTACATAATGTCCTGTTTGACAGAGTGCATCATGGATGTTAAGTGATGTGTATCAGTACGTAAAACATGCCAGGTTCACTCAGAGTACTCAATATTAGTTATAAATTAAGTGCTATTCAGCTTAACCTAAGGAAAAGACAGCAAAGGGGTAATGTATTTACTCATTGCACATTTATCAAATACCTGCTATTGTTCTAGGCGTTCTGGTAACAAAGGATAAGGCATAATTCTTACCCTAAAGAAGCAGTCTAATTGGGAAGATAGTCTTGTAGACAGTGTTGTGTCAGGAGTTCACATTTTCTTTGAAGGATATGAGCTGTAGTATTTTGTGCTCTATCGTAGCAGCCATCTTCTAATTTACTCAAACTTGTTTATTAAGGTAAATAGCATTTTTCTGCCTTTGGAGATTTTACTACCAAGTTAGATAGCAAGCTAGTCCTCATGGCTTTATTATCTACAGGATATTTATTACCCCAAAGTTTTCAATCTTATTTGTAATATCTAATTCTGAGGTGGTGGTGGTTGTTGGGTGCCATCGAGTCGTCTCTAACTCATAGCGACCCTATGCACAGCAGAATAAAAATACTGCCCAGTCCTGTGCCAGCCTCACAGGCCTTGCTATACCCAAATATCTAATATTTAGATATTTAAAAAGAGCTGCTTTCCCTGTAAAAACAAAACAAAACACTTTATGGCACTTTAATATCTAAGTTTAGGTATTACAAATAAAATTGAAACTTTGGGGTAATAAACATTTTCAGCTTTGAGACAGGATTGGGAAATAATCTAAAATTTATAAATATTTTCTGACTTTTGCCTTACAGTATAGATTATACCATACTTTTCACAGATTACAGTTATCCAGACTAAAGGTCACCAAGATGGAGAAGAAAACCCAATATTAGTACATATGTAGTTATGTGAGCATAACCACTTTATCCAGAGTAGAATGTGCTGATTATACCACCCTTCTAAAGTCCATTTTCCTTATGGAATCTACTTTATTATATTTGACCTCTTGAGTAATATATAAATCTTTGGTGCTCATGTATATAATTATGACTAAAGTATGACTGATATTTTCCTGCTTGCAATACTTACTCATTTAGCATTTGCAGAATCCCATGACATAGCCATTAATTACTTATTTTTTTTTCATCTTTTGTAAGTAGTATGTGATTAATGTAGTGCTTCATAATAGTAGATATACATAAGTAAGGATATTATTCAAGGTAAAAATGATAAAAACTAGTAATGCCTTAGTGTATATTCTTACATAATTTAGTATGTTTAAGGGTCACTTGAATCAGAATAAACTTGATGGCAATCAGTTTGGTTTTAAGAGTTTAAAAGGGCAAAACGTTATTGAAATGCAGTTCAGGTTTTTATTTTCATTGTGAATAATTAAAGAAGAGAACTTTATTGTCTCTAGCACCTTTCCATTCTCCTTTATACAATACTGTTCACAAAACTGTTCCATAACTTTTAAGTGGACAAAAGTAGATTATAAAATAATGTTATTTATTTTTAAGTAGAAAAATATACACCAGAATCTTTACATTGGTTATCTTTGGGTACATGCAAATAATTTTAATAGCCTTCTCTTTCATAAAAAACATTAACATTACTACCCTTTTACTTTTTCAGAATCTGATATTGATGCTGCCACTGCAATGATGCTTTTAAATACTTCCATAGAACAAGGAATTTTAGAATGTAAGCAATCATGCTTGTCTTTCTTTTTTTATGCATTTTATTGAAATATAATTTATGTGTAGTAAAATACACAAAACTAAAGTGACATAGGTCGAGGAATTTTTTTTTTTTTTTTTTTTTTTGCAGTATTCCCTCCCCTCCCACCCCTGGCAAACAACAAAGAAAGTTTCCTTCCATATATAAACCTTTCCTTGACCCTTCACAGCAACAAATTAATACTATATTTGTCCTTCTGTGATTGACTTATTTCACTCAACATAATATCCTCCAAGGTCATCCATATTATGCAGTGTTTTGCAGACTCTACATTATTCTTTAGTGCTGCATAGCGTTCCATTATGTGTATGTACCATAGTTCGGTCATCTACTGTTCCGCTGATGGGCACATAGGTTGTTTCCATCTTTTTGCTATTGTAAATAGTGCTTCAGTGAACATGAGTGTGCATATATGTGTTCCTGTCCTGTCTCTCACCTCTCCAGAATATATACCTAGTAATGGGATTGTAGGGTCAAATGGTATCTACAATTCCAGCTTTCTAAGGAATAACCATACTGCTTTCCACGGTGGTTGTATCCCTTCACAGTCCCACCAGCAGTGAATGAGAGTCCCAGACTCTCCACATCCCCGCCAGCATTTGTTATTTTCTGTCTCTTTGAACTCTGCCATCAGTGCTGGGGTAAGATGGCATCTCATTGTTGTTTTGATTTGCATCTCTGTGATGGCCAGTGATTGTGAGCATCTCTTCATGTATTAGCTGGCCACCTGAATATCCTCCTTGGTGAATTGTCTATTCATGTCTTTTGGCCATTTTTCAATTGGATTGTTAATTCCTTTGCTGTTGAGGCATTGGCGTTTTCTATAAATCTTAGCGATAAGTCCCTTGCCAGATATGTAATTATCGGCAAATATGAATTTGTTGCTGTCATTTTTTTTTTTTTTTTTTTTATTAGGATTTGGGTGAA